TATATTGTAAGTTCTTTAAATTTTGTAGGTGCTTAACAAGGAAAAACTTTTTTATAAACTCATATTACAAGCCTTTCTTTGATTATTTTTATGAACTACCTTATTATTTATCAAAATGTATACTTACCTTTACATTAAAAGTTCTGAATACTCTGTTACAGCTCTGATTCCAGTATCAGTATTTTTGACAGCTCTAGTAAGAAACCAGAAGATAATTTATCTATGCCGCACACATTTATGGATGATAATAAGTAAATTAGTTTACTGCCTAGTTTTACAAGTTAAAAACTATCAATGGATAGGTTTATTGTTGTACAGTTCTACGTGTTTTCGGATTTTACAAAATTCTTATTACCAGATCCGCTATAAGAAGCGTTCCATTTAAAATCCCCACCTTGTATATAAGTATGGTAAATTTAGTAGTGTTAAAAATCTAAATTTTGTTTTAAAAATCTCTCATTTACCAATTTGTAAAACTGTTCAAATTTTAACCCCAAAATTGAATTCGTAAATTTGTTTAAAATAAATCTTGATTTATTTATCTTGTTTTTATTTTATTTATTTTATTTAACATCTTTATATGTAATAAATGTTGTATTATTCTTGGAAAAAAAATAGTTTTTTAAAGCTTTTTACCTACATTCCACTGAACTTCATACCCTTATACCAAATCTAATCGGTTTTAAAGTTTAAACCATCAAAGTTTATTGCACACTATATCGGTTAGTATTTTATTATTTTTTTATAATTATTAGTTATGATTTTATCTTTAATAAGATACGTCACTGGTATCAACAGACTTTTAGTTGCGTACAACAGCAGCGTTGCCAGACGAGATTTTCGATTACAGTCTGTCTTCTTTCGATCCGCATATAATATCTTCTTTGTCTTTTCCGATAATTGGGAACAAACAAAACATACTTTATGAATGAAATGCAACATCTGTTGTTTCTTTTATCTGAGGAGCAAACCCTCAACGATGTATATTCTGGAAAATCGACTTACTGCATAATCTTTCCTCCATGCTGCATTTCCACCATATCCAAATTATTGAAAGGATTTTATATTGACAATTGTATTGCTAGTTTAGACAGTAAAGACGATCTTCAAAAATTCATTAACGAAGCGCGAGCAATAATATCAGAAGCTCAATTTGATCTAAGATTGTGGAAGTTTACAACACTACAAAAAGATAAAGATAACAAGATATTTTCTGTTCTTGGTCTAACTTGGAATATAAATTTGGATACTTTAGAAATGTGTTTTACTGAATTTGAACATTTAATAACAGGAAAAATAACAAAGAAATCATTTTGTCGTTTGCAATTTTGATCCAATTGGATTCGCATGCCCTGTTCTTCTTCGGCCAAAATTGTTGATGCAGCAAACATGGATTTTAAAACTAGATTGAAATGCAGAAGTTCCGAAAGATATCAGATAGCATCCTTTGCACATTCCTGACATTAAATTCCTGTTTATTATTTCTAGATTTACCTATACAGCGAAGCGATTGATAAATAATAAAAAAAAACCTTTTAAAAAATGGATTTATTAAAAAGTTATTCTACAACTAACCCTGAGTCAATTCGTGATCTGTCCAGGTTGTGTAGTGCTTGTCTGCTATCGGTATAGATGAGCAAATGATATTGTTTCAGGTAACTTCTTTTGCTGCTAAGAGAATCCCTGTGAGCTCAATTTCAACTATACTGGCTCTATTACTCGCAGCCCATTTTATGTAAAAGATAAAGGATTGTTCCAACAACCTCAAAAAACTCGAAACAAAACCAAGTTTACCATTTGAGCTAAAAATAAATCTTTCACACAAAAAAAAAATTCTAAAACGTGTTTTTTTACCAAAGTCTCGCTTTATTTTTTAAATGGGCCATTTTAACATGAGATGAAAAATTGTATTACCAATCTGACAAACATTATTTTCTAGTTCATAGCCTTTTACCTCAAAAAAAATAATAAAAATTTTGTTTGGGAGAAATGAAAATTTGGCGACACTGTCATACGTACTTATATATGTATTCGCTCCGTGCGAAGTCATGGAAAGGGAAGCAAAAGCGATACTAGCGCTAGCTGCGGATAATTCGTGCATTTTAGGGGGATATTTTGTAATTTTGGCATATCAAATACACGTATACATTTTACTTTTTTTCAAAAAAGTAGGTTAAAACAACACAATAAGCAACCGGAGTTGCTGTGTTGAAAATTGTACAAATACTAGCAAAAAAAAACAGTGAAACTTATATAACAAATTTCACTAACAAAGTGGAAATTAAATCAAAGAAATAAATGGATAGGTGTACAATAAGAAGAAAAATTACCTTTATTTTTGTGATAATAACAGTAATGCTGGAAATAGTAGACATCAGAAACTAGAAAGTTTTTAAATAAACAATAAATTATCATTTTACGATGTTCTTTAATATCCCTTTATTCTTAAATGTTCATTCAGCAAGGACTAGATTTCAAGATTTCTGCCGTTGATTATAATATTTGGATGGTATGCAATTTTGTGACTTACTGATCGGAAACCAGTTTTAATCATTCATTCTATGTTTTCTTTAGAACAAAAATGAAAATATAAGTAGCGATCCTTTTTATACATTTTAACTTCACGCTATTATAAATGGTTTCTTCAATGACAACTTATTAGACTTAGGCAACTTCTCATACATTTTCCAGTAAATACTGTTGCCTGCCTACCTATATTTTATTATTGATTTTTAATGATTATACATAATTTTCTTCAATTTAAGCGTGAAAAATATATAATAATAATAAAAAATTAATGTTTTGTTTTATAAATCCATATACTTTTATTAAAACTAACATATATACTTTTTATTTACGAATTCTATTAAAAATTGTATTTGTCAGTATAGGCAGAAATACTCCTTTAATACCAAAACAAATTGGCGCTGCTGTCGCGCATGGAGCGAATACGTACCTACTTGTGCTTGTAGTTATATATTTATAAGTACCTATATATTTAAATACCATAAAACAGATACGTAATTCGAACAAAAAAAAAAAAACAAATTATACTGTGTGATCTTTTTGAAATTTAAGATAATTTGACATTTATGTTTTCAAAAATTTTAAATATCTAGTTATATTTCTAATTTGAAAATGACTCTTTGTTGGCTTCTATATTACTTTTCACCTCATTTTCACATATTATTAAAAATGAAAACATATTAAAAAAAAATGTTTAAAAATACTTACAATAGAATGTTTGTGTACAAAACAAAAATAAATTGTTCTTGGTAATCCAAGAATTTTTTTAATGCCGTGTTATACTTACCTTCTCTCTAAAAAAGAAACGGTAACTGGGTAAATAAATCCTTCTTTGTAAATTGTTTAGTTCCTTGTTCGCTAACCTCATCCAATTATTCATTCCAGGTTCATTTCGACGGTTTGAATAGAACAAACAAGTTCTGCTGCAAAGCGCTTAACGTTTTCCATTAATTTAATTAAACTGATGTTCAGACGTCCACCGCAAATTCCTCAATTTAATAAGTTCAAAAGTGGGCCCTTTTGCCGCCAACATACAATGGATGCGCGATAGCTGAGGGGCTATGCGATAGCTGAGGGGCTATTTTCAAACTCGAGAGATAGGAGTGTTCTACCGAGAAAAAGGAGTATTCTAATCTATATTATATTTTCCCTAACCTGTATTTTTAAACAACTTGCTGTTTGTTGTTTCCTCTCGGCTAATCACGTGATGAAATTCTAAGGATTATAATAATTTTTTCGAAATAATACGAGAGTAATAGTCGGGTTTCCACAATCATTCCTTATGAAATAGAAATAAATATTTCTATAGTTTAAAAGTAGGTTCCCTAATATAAAAATAATAAATTAACGGTAAAAAACATTTTTAAAAACAAGCTTTTATTTAAGTATTCTGAAACCAACTAAGGCGAACTATTAACACTCACTCTAAAAATGCAGGGCCGAAGATTATTGTTATTTTGACGTCTGCGTAAAACAGATCAGATCATGGTTATGTTATGTTAGGTATGAGGTATTAAGGCAACCTAAAAATCTCTTGTCCCATTTTTATCGTTAATGCAGCGAAGAAATAGTCTGGATGCCTATAACGACCCTTCCAAGACTATATCTTTTCAAGAAAGTATAGGATTTGGAGTGGCTTCAAGGTAGATCGCCCTCTTCTATTTGATATGCTACTAAGTATAGGGGTCATGAATTATGGAGTGCTACCTATTCAGTCTGAATGTGAATGAATGTTTCGTCCTCCATGGTTAGTCTGGTGTTTAGCAATTAATAACATATTATTTTTTTCATTTTTTGTGGTGGTCTGCTCCTAGACTATTATTTTGTTTGTATTGTTTTACAGAATTGATTACTAAACGATTATTTAACCAAAATCACCCAAATTAAATAACAGTTCTATAACTAGATAGAACAACTTTTGTTGGCTCCTCTTTAACGTCATCACCGCATTGAATAGCCTTTTATTAACCGACTTCAAAAAAGGAGGAGGTTCTCAATTCGCCACAACATTTTTTTTTATTTTCAATGATACTTTTTTTGTTAGAAAGGGGGTACTTCAGGGGTGGTTCCATATAAATTTGGTCAAAACCTAATAATTGGGTCCATGAGAAAATCCTCAAACTCTTCATTTTTTATGTATGTTTATCGATAATGCTTTACCACCTTGTCCGATTTTTATGATTCTGTTTTTGTTAGTAAGGGAGTGCCTCAGGAGTGGTCTTATATAAATTTGGTTAAGATGTGGTGATGGCATCTGTACGTTTTTGAAGTCGGTTTTTTAAATTTTTAATTTCTAATACTTGTTTAGACTATTATGATAATTTAATTGTCAATTCTGTCGAATACGTTCCTGGCATTGTTTTGGGGTTACTGCTGAAGTTATGAATTTCACTTCTAGCCCCTGGCGACATAAATTTGGTCACGTGTACGGGTATTGTTAAAGACTGTAAGATAACTTTTGTAAAATGTTATAGGAAGAAGAAGACGGTATGATGGTAGGTAATAGTGGAGGAAACAAACGATCCAAAGGTTCATCAGAGGGCGATGGTACAACGGGAAGCTATTCAAGTCTCGAGGACGACGAAGCTGAAACTGTCGACCAGTTAGCAGCTCTGGCCGCTCGATATCAAATCGACAACGTCAATCTTGGCAATGGAAACAAAATATGTAAGTGTTTAGGATTTTCGTTTACTTATATAAATATGTCTCAGCTTCGCCTTGTGTGTAAACTCAATAGTATCATGTGTCACTTTCCGCGATTGTTACGTAATATACAAGATTTCTTAGAACACTTCTGTCAAACGGTAACCTAAGATTTGATTTTTATGTCAAGTTTACCTAAATTACCTTGATCTGAAAATGTTTTGTAAGGGAACTAAGTTGGCGTCTGAGATTATCCTTTATATTGGAGATAAAAGATGAACCATATATAATTTCTTGTAGGATTAACTTATTATGAGTATTTTTCTTTTCATAAAAAGTTAATGTAGACTGAACATGCGCTGGTTTAAAAACAATAAATACATTTATTCACTGTACCCTTGAACATTTGATATACAATTTTAAATGCTTTATCTTTCGGATTAATTAGACTAATGATTGAAATGATATATATGATCGAAATGGTACAATATCGAAAGTATTATATAACGAAACTAGTAAATCAGTTATTTTTTTATTTTGCTTATTTTATGTATATATTTCTTTGAAGAGCATCTCGCGATGGCTCCAGGTCTCACAGGTTAGGTAAATTAGTTGTTACTTTTTAATTTTTTTCATTTTATGTATAATTTTTTTGCGTAAGAATTCGCGATGGGTCCAAGCCGCACAAATTAGGTAAATTAGTTAGGTTATTTTTAATGTTTCTCATTTTATGTACAATTTTTCTGCGAAGCAACTTGCGGTATCTCCAGATCATACAGGTTAGGTGTATCTGGTGTTTCCGTTTGACAGAACAGTTCTGTAACATCCTACTATTAAACGTTTTTGTTCTGATCTAGATAATACGCAGCAGCTGTCCTCGAACCTTACCTACCAAAACAAAGCGGCTATGGGCAAAAATAAGTCGGCACCTCTGACCGGAAATGTCAACACGGCGACTCACGGTCAGAATCAGAAGGGAAACAACCCATTTCCGTTTGGAACCAGTTCAGACTCAGAATCTCCAACGGAACCGGTCAGCCAAAAAACCGTAGCTATGCTCAGAGCTAAAGTGGTGCCAAATCAAATTTAAATTGTATACAATTGTGTAGAAGTTATTTAGACATTTGAAATCCGTGAGATATGAATAGTTAATTAAATTTACAAGCCGAGGTGCTTACAATATTTTTCATACTACTAACAACATTACAATCGGTCTTTTCACCTTTAAGCAAAGAGGAAAGTCACTTCGTGCTGATACTTTACTTGGAACTCCGGTCTTTTCAGGTATTTGTGTCCGTCAACTGGCAAATTAAAACTTATTTGAAATAAATCGATGCTTTTATATTGGTTACTACAATTTTTATGTCATATTTCTGTCAGGGAGGTAAGAAATTTGTAGTTATTTTTAAACTGAAAGAAGGCATTTTATACAGAAAAGACGTGAAGTGAAGTAAGAGAGTAAGATTTTTTGATGTAAGAAAAATGACTATTTTGATATTTAAATAATAATAGACGTTTGTAATAATATTAATACCTATTTGACGAGGTTTAAAATCATGATCTATTAATTCCAGTATTTTACATCGGGTTTAAGCTAAAGATCTTATCAGATTATTACTGCCAAAATTATGTCTCATCAAATTGATATTAAAATATTTTCAAGATTTAGACGCAACAAAAATAGCTGACTATTATTAAAGTCTTTATGTATTACCCTTAAATATTCCATATTTATATTTTGTAACTAATCATTTGTTTATCCTCGACCAAGGGTGTTAAGTGAAACTTTTCTGACGTTGGTAGACGTCAAAAAAAAAACGAGTGACAATTTCAAAGCTAATAGTAGTATGAAAAAGTTTTTATTAGAGTCAGCATCATTCGGTTTAGAGAAATGTCTACTTCACTTCTTCGATCTCACGGATTTTATTATAGAATTTTCGTTTATAAAGCGGGGTGATTTGAAACTTAGTACTTACGTCAAATTGGTAGATGAATTTTTCATAAAAAATATTGAATTTAAATGCACAAATATTAGCACTATGACATGAAATATACTTTTTATAAAACTTATTAAATATTAAATAGGTTTTTAAAATTCAAACGGGATAGAAATAAGAGTCAGCTTACGGAATATGGATAAAATATTTGAGATGAACATTTTCTTGGCTGTCTATTGAAAATAAAGAGACGACTACGAACAGGTGCATAGGACGTTTACAAAAGTTTTGTAACGATGTCAAAACGTTAGTTTTTCCATTTGCTTTTTTTTTCTTTTTTAGAGTTCTGACCTGCTATTTCAATATGAATTGGATTTAACTTCATTACAGTAATTGTAGCTATTACATTATCTTGGGAACGTTATGAGTATTTTGTGTCCCTAAGTAAAAAAAAATATACAGTGTCCTGCATAAATACAAACACAAAAATTTTTTTATTCTAATTTTCTTAGGGAATGTTATTCTTTTTAAAAATTTTGAATAGACACTAAAAAGTTTTTAAATATTTTGATTAATGTAATTTTTTAATTAGTATATAAACAAATCTCAAATTCTAAAATACATTTTTACTGCTAATATATTAATATAGGATAGGTTTTTCTGGAAATATACAGGATAACTAAAGAAGTTCGTATTTGGAATTTTTCATCAATTCCCAGATATCATGAACAGTCAAGCTGCTTAAATTTAATAAGTCTGAAGCAATTTGTTGCAGCAATTCTTTACAGGGGTGGCTCAAAAAAATATTAGTTAACTCTGGTAAATGCATTTTAGGTTAGAGCAATTAAGGAACTTCTATAATGAATAAAATTATCTGAGAATTGTCTACAATAAAAAAAATATTTTTTCAATTTTGAAATTAAAATTTAAAAAATTGTCTTCCAATTTACAGTACCTACTTATTTTAAATCACCCTACGTAATTCCAAAACAACTATCGTGTCCAGTCAGTTTTTTAAATAAAATTTTGTAAATTTTGTTTAAAATAAAGATGCTACATAGCATTATAATAGTTTAGACACAGTGAACATAAAGCAAAATATGAGAGGTTCGCATAAATTCCCCAAAAATAAACTTGATGATTTTTTTTAACTAAAGGAAACACATTGAATTCAATTTTATGCCCATATATTTTCGCAAATCCTTCTATAAATGGTAAATCAATAAACTCTGTGTGTGAAGTGCTTTTCGAGTAGCATAATATCTAAGTCAATTCCATTTTCTAGATATTCTTCTGTTTTTGCAAACTATAATTTGGTAAAAAGTTGAAATAGAACATGTCGATCAGCTGTCTTAATTTGCATGGACCATTGTGAGTGAATAACTTATACCTATAGTTAACTAAATATTGTTTTCTTTTTGACTGTACTTAGACAGTTGCTCCTTGTGGCCTAAACCATAAAAAACACGTATCTATCATTTTAATTGTAGTAGTAGTTTACTATTAGCAAATAGGTACCTAAAATTCATTAATGTGTACGTAATTTTAAAATATTCGATATTACCAGGGCCGGCAGAAGGAGAGTTTTTTATTTACCTGTAATAATAGAGTAAAAGAAAAATATGAAAATATTTATAAGTGAAGAATTCGTTTTTTAAGAGACAATGATTGATTTGATGACACGCAAGTAGTCGTACTTTTTAAAAGTCATCGTTTTGACTAATATTTTTAGACTTATTTCGTACGCACTTAAGTGCCTCTTTACAGTTCATAGTTTTCCTTAATTGCACGTTAAATGACGCTTATTCGTATTGCACCTGTGTTACCAACCTTGAAGTAAAATTTTTCTCTCCACTTACCTTTTCATTCCTCAAAACCCGGACCTTTGTTTGTGAAATTTCTAAAAAAAGGTCCTCACTTTATAATTTTATAAACCAGGTTCTTGAGCTTCTAAACAACAAAAGGGTCCTAAAACCCGTACAAGTGGCATCCCTACTCCCGTTAAAATAAATACATATAAATCAATATTATAAAAATACGTCAAAGAATTAACAAATTTAATTTAATTTATTTTGAAAATAATACATTTTCACAATTTGGACTAGAGTAAAAAATTCCCGCTTTGAGTATATTTTTTCCCTTATCCCTTTTGTGATAAAAATTCCCGAAAAACAAGAAATTTCCTTCCGGTTGGCAACACTGTATTGCACGTCTGCGAATCAGAGTATACATTGCTGGTATACATGTTCTATGTTGCATTACGTAGAGCGTAGACGAGAGATAACTTGTTATATCTGGCGTAGACAAACCAAAGGCGGCTCCAGGGGGGACAGGGGGCTACCGCCCGAAATTATTATTTTTACTCAATTGATGAATCTTTTATTTAGGAGTCCTAGGTAAAATTGTTATAAAAAATTTCTCGTGTCAAGCTTTAAAAAAAAATTACTAGCATGCCCCCCAGCGAAAATTCAGTCTGGAGCCGCCCTTGAGTTAAATAGTAGATACTTTGGTAGTTGGAGAGGTGATAAACGTCGAACCCCATTGGGCGACTTCAAGAAGTTCGTATGCAATACACCTTTCTTCTTTATCGACCATTTCGCATTACTTATGCGCGAAAAAGTGCGGGATTTTTTAATTTAATAATTTTTAAATTACTTATTTTCTATCTGTCTTTTATGCTCACCCTATTTACAACTGTTGGGTTAGCTACAATTATTACCAGCTTGTCATCGTCGCTTTAAATAACTTCCATCGAACTTTGGTGGGTGTATTTTTTGCACGGTTTTTTGCCACATCTCCATAACAAAAGCGAAATCAAATTATAAAAACACACAGTCACTATCAAACGCAAACACAAAACATTTACAAATGTGTAATTGACACTCAGTATAGGAAATATTCCAAAAAATGTTGGTGACTTTAACACTTTCGCTGCCCATCTGGCTGTTCTTTAAGTTGTCTAGCTATGAAGTGCTTTTAAACAATCTCTGGATTAAGAGGAAAAATTTCAGTTGGTCTGAATCCATTGACTGCAGTTTTAAGGGTAGCAACTCGAAAGTACCCTTCACCTAACAAACTGTATACTAGCAATTCTGTTTGGATTAGAGGCCATTCAATTTTCTGTAGCCTTTGCACATCGACTCTTTAGAGTAAACATAAATGGTACATCCAAAAGCTGTAGCTTATTTGTTAAGTGAAGAGGAAGGCAAACTATGGATACTTCTGTCTCTCTTCTGCATTCAATAACCTCTAGATTTCTAGCAATAGTGTCCATCAATGATGAGCACTACCGGCTTTTCTTTTGAAGGCTTGGCAGTTTTCCTTGGAAATGAAATGTTCAAATCACTTTAAAAACAATGAACCAATGATCCAACCTGAATCAGAGCATTGACCTGGTGGAACTCCGTCAAACAGTTCTGCTTGCCACCTTTTCTGTGGAAACATTAGTAGAGGGAAATATACTGACCTGGAGTTGACAAACCGGTTTTTACTGTTGTACCTTTCCCGTTATTAGCGAAAAAAGCGTGGGAATATTGAATCTAGTAATTTTCCAAATAACTTAATTGTTTTTATTTTCGCCTTACAATTGTTGGGTTGGCTAGTCTATACAGGGGTACCAATAAAAACTCCCAGGCCGGATATTTTGGTAAGTAATAGAGATATTTTAATTCTGTAAAAGCCAGTTCATAGAGCGCTAAGAGAGCTTTAGTTTTAGATATAAATTAACTTTAAATAGATCAATATGTAGATGGCGCTGCTCTCAATATATTTTTTCGATGGGAGGATTTTTCTTATATAACGCATCTTGTAAAAAATGCATTTTTAAGCACATTTTGTTCTATAAACTAATTCGATAAATCTCCATTTTTGATATACAGAGTGGGTCACTCAAAACAGTTTCATCCTGTTTTTCAGCATTAATCATTAGATTTTAAGAAAATGCAAAAACAGGTCGATTTTTATTCCAAATTAAAAACATTTTTACAATACAGACATCTGTCATGTGTTAACTCCCTTCCTTGCACTTCTCCAAAACCTTAATTTTAAATAGGTAATGTACCATGTAAGGCACATCATTGAAAAGGTAATTTAATAGAGAATTCAGAAATATTTCTGTATATTGTGTTACTTAAGTTTTATCGCCGTTTAGTGGGATAAAAAACTACTACGTATTACAGAGTGTGACACTACAAAGGTAATTTTATAGGGAATTTAGAAATATGACTGTTCATTACAATACTCTTAATTGTACCGCCCTCTATCGGGATAAAAAACTGTACGTATTATAAAGTGTGACACCTTATTTGAAAGCAAATTTAATTACTAATTCAATGCACCACATAACATTAATATAAATATTCTCCATATTGCACTTGCAATAGTTTGAAAATTATTCATGCATTATTTTAAACATTATTGCTAACTTTATTTTGTTGCAAGTGTATGCAAGTGTATATTAATGTTATGTGGTGCATTGAATTAGTAATTATATTAGCTTTCAAATGAAGTGTCACACTTTATAATACATTACAGGTGCTTTATCCCGATAGAGGGCGCTAAAATTAAAAATATCGCAATAAACAGTCATATTTCTGATTTTCCCATAAAATTACCTTTTCAATGATGTGCCGTACATGATATATTCCTTATTTAAAATTAAGGGGTTGAAGAAGTAGAAGGGAGGGGGTTGACACATGACAGATATCTGTATTGTAAAAATGTGTTCAATTGAGAATAAAAATCAAAGTGTTTAAGCATTTTCTAAAAATCCAATGATTAATGCCGAAAAACAGGATGAAACTATTTTGAGTTACCCACTCTGTATATTAAAAATGGCTAGATTTATCGAATTAGTTTATAGAGCAAAATTTGCTTAAAACTGCATTTTTTTATAAGATGCGTTATATAAGAAAGATCCTCCCATCGAAAAAAAAATATTGAGCGCAGCGCCATCTACATATTGACCTATTTAAAATTAATTTATACCTAAAACTAAAGCTCTCTTAGCGCTCCATGAACTGGCTTTTACAGAATTAAAATATCTTTATTACTTACCAAAATACCCGGCCTGGGAGTTTTTATTGGTACACCCTGTATAGTAGGGGACCCAGTGATTTTTTTTGGTACACATTTGCACAAAGCTGAATTTTAAATATATCGTTAATTCTTACCTTGAAGACGATGGAAATATTTTGCTGCAGAAGCACCAGCTATGAGGATTCGATGACGACGTCTTCAAAAAGCCAATGTAGAAAATAAAAACAGAAAAAGTTTGCTGCCATCTTGGTAGAGGTGAATAACTTTCAAATTTGAAAAATAATATGTACACAAGGCTTATTTTTTCTGTGATAGAATAATATATATTATTAATGAATAATCATTTGCTGCACTAGATCTGGCGGTGAAATGCCCTATCAGCAGTCAAGAAGGTACTATGAATCGAATTTCAAGAAGCAAACTTTTCTCTACAGGATATTTTCTACACAGACTTTTTTAAGACGTCTTCATCCAGGGCTCTTGATTCTATTTTTAACCGACTTCAAAAAGGAGGAGGTTCTCAATTCGTCGCGATATTTTTTTTTATGTATGTTCAGCGATAATTCTTCAACACGGTGTCCGATTTTAAAAATTATTTTTTTGTTAGAAAGGAGGTACTTCAGGGGTGGTCCCATATAAATTTGGTTAAAATCTAATAATTGGA